CCAAACAGGATATATCCACCTGCACTCCAGGCGTGTTGGCAATCTTACGTTGTCATTTGGCATTCACGCTCACTTGCACTCTTGAAGGCACTTTGCTCTTATTTGCAGTTGCAGCAAGAGCGTACTAGCATCACCTAACAACGATATGGACTCTCCTCCGCAGCATTCCAATCGTCGCTTCGCAGCGCCCTCGAACAAGCCGGCAGGGCTGTTTCTCTGGGGGGGCGGCATCTCCTTGTACCAAGCCCATAGAGTGAATATCTGTTTCTTTCATCAGTGCCCATCGCTATTCAACCTTGCAGAAGGCAGAAGAGAAGCATGACGTGACGCGAATTCACGATGGGAGGCTGCCGTTTGCGGCTCGATCTCAAGATTTCCATAAGTGCCATGGCATGCCTTGCATTTCAAGCCTCCACTTGCTTTGTGCAGGGCCTGTGGTAGGAGTTGCCCTGGTGGGTGGGCCCGACCTCTATTAAGTCATGCATGTTGTCTGCGTGTTCCTGCCCGGGGATGAGATATACCGTAGGTACACCTACCACACCTAGATGGGTATGTATGCAGTTGAGCAGATAGCGAGACGGTGGATGCACGAGTACGCGCACTGAGCGAGGACGGTCCGCTCTACTGCTTGGAGCCGGCAAAACCTGCCCCTGAGCTGCGGCCATCGGGCATTGAGGTCTCAGACCGGGAGGGAGTTGGAGATCCACCGTTGCGGTTGTTGCGTCCAAGGCCTGGGCCACAGCGAGGGTGCGGCGGGGCTCGCAGGCCTGGCACGGCTCCTTGCAGGCGCCAAGCAGGGCGGGGCCCTGTCAGGGCGAGGAAAAAGGTGGGAGCTGCCTTGGACGTGCCTCGCGGAGGTCTTCATGGGCTCCTGGCCCAGAGCCCTTTGGCGCATCTCTGCCAGGCTGGGGCTGTTGCGAGGTGCAATGACCTCAGAAGCCTCGGCTGCCAGGTGTCGACTCCAACTTCGCTGGCCCTCCCCACCGAGGTCGCCGCAGGGCGGCAAGGAGACAGTCAGCAAACATTCTTCGATCACAGAGATCCGCTTCTCATGCCTTGTGGCTTAACGACTTTTTGCCAAATCCCAAACGGTTGAGGCTTTAGGGTTTAGGGGGGTTCGGACATAGAGTTCCCGACGCTAAGCTCCGAAACCCTGTGCCCTGCGGTAAGCCCTGCAAGCCCTAAAGTCCCAACGCCCTAATCTCTGCTGCCAGGTTCGATGAGTAACGACACCGACTCTACTGTTGCTCCAGACCAGCTCCCCTAAAAACCGAAACCCCTAAACCCTAAACCCCGAAACCTGCCACCCTAATCGTGCTATGCAGACTGTGGTCTTTGCGGGGTGAGGGGTTCAGACGCCGGGCTTGGGCTTGGCCAACAAGAATCCGAGAGAAAAGCAACAAGCCTCCAAGTGATCCGAGATCCGACAGACAACAAACTTCCCAACTCTGCAAGCCTGAAGCAGTGGGGTGTGGCAGAGCCCGAGCTGAGATCGAGCTGCATCCAGCCTTGACGGATCGGTAATGGGGTGGAAGATTGTAACCTTCCAAATGCGGAGCTCAAAGGTTTGGGTCAGACCGAGAGTAGTCCCAGACCAAATCCCAATCCATGAGCAGTAGTAGCAGAAGCAATCTCCGTGGGGCGTTTCTGCTTTTGCAATCTCGTTTTTTGCTGAAGAGCACAGGTTGAAACTTACAACGATTCCTCTTGTTGGCATTCTTCTTCTTCAGTTGCTGTTTTCATTGATCGGAATAGTAACTAACTCGTGTCTATCATCGGCCAGATTCTCATCATTGCAAGAGCTACTGGAAGGGCATCCTCCCGGACTACTCAAATGTAAACGCTGGAATCACCGCCCTCTTTTGCCAGGGCCAACTTGAGTTCGGCCTTCGGGTCTTACGCAGTGGGTGAGCCTAAGGCCTACAAATGTCGACACTCTAAGTCTCCAAGCCCTTGTCCGAACACCTGCAGTCCTACCAGCTGAAAATTGGAAGCTTAGGAGCCGTTTTCAGTCCAGCCACACGATTGGTATTTGTTTCAGCTCCAAGTTTCTGGCATGAGGGTAATGAAGCCTCGGTTGCAGTGTGTCAGAATCGCCAAACCCCTGCTCGGCGTCGTGGCATGCAAACGTCTCGAGACACATCGTATTCCTATCCACGAACGGTTTCGAAAGCAGCGATTCTCCAAGCAGCGTGCCCTCCCAGAATTCCGATGAAGGAACAGCTCCGAAGACAAGAAATCAAAAGATGTCAAACTTGACCCCATGCTGCCACTCGCTTCTCTCGGGTGAGGTGTCGGCGCCTGCCTGTCCGTTGGACGCCAAGGCCAACTTAGGGGCCGGTCCCACTGCGATTTCATTGCTCCCCATCTTTCGAACCTTTCGGAGACAGTGCAAGTGGTATTGGAGGAGACATACTGTTGCCATGTTGCGAGTGCTCCAAGCCGCCCGCAGCTCGAATTCTGAGAGCGGCTGGGCACACCGGGCTAAAGAACCTCTTGATCCCCATCTTTTACCTGCCAGGCTGACCGCTGCGGAGGGGTCTCATCTTTCGGATTCGGTCCGGGCCTCTTGCGCCCGCTTCGGCAGACGAGAGTTTGGCAATGTACTCTCGCGAGACATCACGTTTTCTCTCAGGAGGCACCCTGGCTCACGCCTTGCTCTCCTTCGGAGCGACGGCTGCGCCGCGTCCGCCTGACCTTCGTGGCTTCGCCAGGAATAGCTTAGTGGCGCCTGGATGTGCTTGGCGGCTTGGGGCTTTCTTGCTCTTCTTTGCCGGGTGCGCTTCATAGAGAGAGTGCAGGATTTCCGTGTTCTGGCTTGAGATTCAGATCAGCGAGTGGTTTAGCTAGTCATTTTACGAGTTCACTGACGATATCGGCTCGCTGCTTGGGTTGTCTTGAGCCGCTGCTTCCGGATGAAGCTGGCAAAGCCTCACCAAGCTTTGTGAGGTGCCCGAAATGTCGGTAAGCCAGAAAAAACAAACAGAGGCTCTACGGAATGTCGATCACGAGGCGAGGTCAGTTTCAAAACCGGCGCGTCTCAGCAGGGTGGACGTGTTTCCTGTCATAGAGTCTAAACGAGTTGCTGGAGCAGAAGAGCTTCAGAAATCTGTCAGTTTTTGCACAGACCAGGCAAAGCTCTATTTCGCTGGTCGGTACATCGTCATCCCTTTCTTGAGACGTTGCGGTCCCTGTCCACTTCTGCCTCTTTGGCAGCACACGAGCCTTGTTGGGCCTGCGAGCTTTCGAAGCAGTGTTGCTACAACTACATTCGATCTGCAAACAGTACCGTCAACGTAGAAGCTCCTAGACTCCGAGTACAAGAAGCGGACATAGTCGCGCGTCTTCGCTCTGCCAGTGCTGCAAGGTCTGCTACAGGGTGCGCGTCACAGAGTCAAGGCCGGACCGCCCCAGCCCAGGGACAGTGCGTCATGATCATGCGACATGCTCACCCTCGTTCACTTGCACGGCTCCATGCATAAGCAGGATCTTGGCGCTGTTGAAGGACCACGTCATATTTGGCGAAATCGTTGTGCCAGCTGCTGCCTTTCTGGCAGCTTATCAGCAATTTGCTTGGTCTGCAAGCTACAAAGAGCAACTGAAAAGTTTTGGCGTCTGCCCCAAGCCCATCTCGCCAAAACGACCTTGACACTGACGTCGGTACTGCTGCTGCTAATGGTGGCGGTGGTGATACTGGTAATAAGACTGATGATTCTACGGCGATTATAGTGCTGGTGATTTTGATCAGCTGCCTAACAAGCATCTCTGTTCAGGGTCAGGTCGGCTGCGCTGCATCCCGCCCGAATAAGCACATCCTGCAAACCTGAATCGCAGCAGATTCTCGAATACAAAACTCATCGCCATGCGGACCCAGAACCTGACCACGACATGCACTCCAAAGCTGCACTCTTCCGAACTTGTAAAGTGAGCAGGAGGTGAGCAACACTCGCTCAGCTGCCTCCGTAACTCAAAAGGAATTCTTCGTTGCCGGTCTTGCTGCACAACGCGAGGGCCCTGCTGGCCTGCTATTGCTGCTGGAGCGCTCTTCTGTCGCAGCCTCTTGCAGTAGCATAAAGAAATGACGACCTCGACTAGTAGACGCTTTATGTTACCCCCAACCAGTGCCGCTATTCCGGCATTTTTTGCTAGTTTCTGTCATCTTTCTGTGGTTCGTGAGTCTCATAAGAAGTCGAGAAACTAACAACTGGCATATCGACTGCCGGCTGCAGTTGTCGATACTGCATGCTTGCTTGGGGGCCTCGTATCCTGAGCACTGTGCACCATCCCGTGCCCGCCGTTATCCCATCAAAGCCATCCAGTAGGGCGAGGCGGCCTTGAGACCTCCTGTGAAGAGTTTCCTGAGGTGTTTGGAGAGTACATGTTAGCTGCTGACCTCAGGAGTGCTGCCAAAGCGTGTGTGTTGCCACTGGATGGCTCAAGGGACTAACGACAGCTGCTTGCGGTAGAAAAGTGGGTTCAGTTGCTTTCATGCGTGCGCTCCAGCTGTGCTCTTCCGGGCACAGTTGGTAGCGGAGCGTTGGTTCGTGAGGCCACGCTCGTGATGTTTCCTGGAAACCAGCTTGGAGCGAACGAGAGAGCACCGAGGACTTCGCTCCCGCAGGCGAGTTTCGAACAGGTTCCTTGGCAATGGAACAGTGCGTGGCAGTCCGATTGGCCGGGATACCCTGAGTGGCAGAGCACTTCCGCGGCTCCGATGATGTGGGCCCCTACATACATGATGACGGGAGCCACTGGGGAGGACCAATCACAGCCCATGCAACAGGGGAGCAGCCAGCAAGGGGAATTGCCTGGCTCGCTAGCGACTGTCGCCTCAGGATCCATGAGCTCTACGGCGGCAGCTTTTCCACCGGCAGCGATGGATGGTGCGTCTCCTCCGGGAAGATCCGTGGGCTGAGGCGGCCCGGCAGCTGATTCGTGCAGCCACAGTCAGCAGCGCGATAACCTCGGGAACGGGATCACTAGGCGAAAGGAGACCTGAGGCACCTCCGTGGCCTCACTTCGCGGCGCCAGGATCTCTTCCGCCAGGTCTACTTCCAGGACACCCAGCAGTTCCGGCGCATCTCGGAGGAGGAGTTCCCCCACAGCCTGGACAATGGGTACCACCTGGACCTCCTCAAGGCGTCGCTTCAGGACTACCCCCAGGAGCCGGAGCCTCGACTGGGCAAGGAGTACCTCGTCCCGTGGATGATGGCCGAGGACCTGGATGGCCTTGGGGCCCTCAGCCCTCGAAGGGAGACTTTACCGATCCTCCCGCGTGGCCTGGCTGGACGTATAGGAAGCAGTGGGAGATCGCCCTTCGCCGATGGGACAAGAACACAGATGTTCCGTTATACCGCAGGTCAGAGAAAGTCTTGAGGTCTCTTGGGTGGGAGATGCAGGTTGACTTCGAACACCTCTCAGAGGCCGAGTTAGTGGCCCCCACCTACCTCGACTCCATCCTCAAGGTGATGAATCTCAAGGCCGGAGTTCGGGACGATGACGAGAAGCGACAGGCCTTCCGAGATGTGATTCATGGAGCTGCTCGAAAGAAGGACGAGAACCTCGGCCAGTTCGCGACGCGACGACTCAGGGATTTTGCCAAGGCAGCAACCTACGGGATCACCCTGCCCCCCGAGTTCCGTGTGTCCTTGATGAAGGAAGGGGCCGGTCTTAGTGATCAGAACCTACAGAATCTGGCTGTGCTCACTCAGGGCAGGGAGATGGACGTGGACTTCCTCGCCGCAGCAATGGCTAGGATGGATGTTCGGGCCGATCGCCTCTCCGGTTATGCGGAGGCGGAGCCCAGGGCATCCCTGAGTTTCGCCGAGGGCATGGATGATCCTCGCGAGCTGGAACAAGGAGAGTCTGAGGAAGAAGAATCCTTGGATGACGAGGTGGTCCTTTCCGAGTTGGAGGACTTGAACTTCTCCGAGGACCAGGCGCAGATGGTCTTCGCCATCCTGGAGAATAGGCCACCCAGGCGTCGAAGGACGTGGAAGGAGAATAAGATGTTCAAGGCCGAGGCGAGGAAGGACCGCAAGCCTTTCCGCAAAGGAGATGCTCTACCTGAAGGAGGCAGGCCACCCGGAGCTCGAGCAGGACTCTCTCGTGATCAGCTGAAGAAGATCTCCACCTGCCGCAATTGCGGTAGAAAAGGCCACTGGGCAGAGGACTGCACGCAGCCAAAGGGTGGTGGACCAGGGGCTGATCGCGGTCGAGTTTCTGGCTTTTGCTATCTTGGACAAGGACCCCCTGGAGGAAGCGGATTCTGCGGGCTGACAGCGTCTGAGTGGGGCCGAATCCTTGCCGCGGCGAGGGCTACGACCGGCTCGGGAACACTTGAGCCCCTGAACTTCCTCACCCTGAAGTCCGGAACCGCCATCCTGGACATCGGCGCGACCCAGGACCTGATTGGAGAGTGCGCCCTCGCGGCCCTTGGACATGTACTGGCCGAGGCGGGCTTGAAGTATGTGGATGTGCCCGTGGACTCCCATGGACCTCCGACGGGGATTGGAGGGGCCGCCACTGTGACCAGAGCGGTCCTGGTTCCCATTTCGCCAGGCGGTGTTCCAGGCGTTGTGCACTTCACCGTGATAAAGGAGAATGTCCCCCCGTTGCTCAGCGTCGGCTTGCTGGAGCACTTGGGGGCCATGCTTGACCTCGTCGACAACAAGGTGCATTTTAAGAGCATCAATGTCGTCCGACACATGCAGAAGGAAGCCTCAGGCCACCGCACCATCTCCCTCGTTGAGTGGGACGGCGCACTTTTCCCCGTGCCCAAGGAGGCGCGAGAGCGTTTTGGACTCTCAGAAGACTCGTTCATGTTGAAGTCGAAGGGCCAGCCCTCCTCCGCATACGCAAAACAAAGCGAAGCACAGGGAGATCCTTGCAGTGCGCAAACGACTGTCGATCGTAGGTCCACAAGTGGGCGGAAGTCGCAGTTATGCCAGCCCTTCGTTGCGAGTGTTTCAGCTGAAGTCCGAGATGAGCAAGCCACCTCTGAGAGAGAACATCTTGTGCTTCATCCAGCAGCTTTCGGCCCTATGAGTCGTAGCCACTTCAATTCGACAACACCCGGTTCCAGCCTCGCTCCCACCTGTGAACATGGACACTCAGAGAGGCTCCCTCGCGGGGCAGAGATGGCGAGCGCTGGTGAACCGAGTGTTCTTCATGATGGAAACGACGCGGATGATGTACGTGCGATTGGTGATGGCCGAGAAGGGCCAGAAGTCGTTCAAGTCAGACAGGCGCAAGTACATCGAGTCCGAGAACCAGGCCCCCGGCAAGTGCCTTCACTCCGGTCCTCACATCAACCGGGGGAACCAGTACGCGAGCTGGCAGGTGTGCAAGGTTTGCAATGCCCGGATCAACTACGCGAGCCGGGGAAGAAGCAAAGCCAAGCCGAAGGCCAAGGCCACTGGAGCCCCTGTGACAACTTCTCCGGCCCCCACAAGGACGCAAGGTCCGATCCTCGAGCCCAATACGCACAAGACCGGACGGCAGGAGATACCACAGGGTGCTGCATCCAGCTCAACGACCACCTCTCCGGAAGTGGCCACGGCTCTTCAGATGATGGCGGCGGGCTTCCAGCAGTTGAACTCCACCATGGCGGAGCTCATGAGAGGGCCAGAGCCAGATGATTATGATGATGGCCAACGCGAAGCCGGGCAAGACGTTCGACCAGATGACGTTCGACGAGGCCTCCCAGATGGCGGCCCAGGTGACAACGGAGCACTTCGCGATGAATGTGGACGAGGAGGACGACGAGAACGGCAGTTGGTCCCCAGTGGCGCCTCAAGAGACCAACCCCGACGAGGCCGGAAATCCCAACCTCCTGGACATGCCGTGAGGTGGCCTCGATGGATGACCGGAGTCCTCTGGGCATCATCCCTGGTGCAATGGGGACAGTGCTCGCCAGAGCTGCAAGAGCATCTACGTCCTCGTGGTGGAGGGGCGAGCAGCTGGATCCTGTATTACGAGGGTGCACCTGGAGAGAGCGGCGAGGGCCCTGGACATCTTCGCCACCCATGGGTCCAGGTGAAGAAAAGCTGTCCCCCGGGTTCCACGGTGCTGTGGCATGAACTACGTGATGGTGATGGCCGAGTCCGAGCACGGGGCCCGGGAGAGCCACATTCAGCTGAGCCAGGAGAACCTCATGAAGTTCGTCAGTGGGTGATTGACGAGAAGCTGATTCTCCCCTTCTACCTGCACGACCCTTCGGTTGGCGTCTACGGCATGAACGCTGAGGGCGAGGAGTCATCGCTCGGACCATGCTGGCATTTCTCCGCTGAGTTCCTTGGCGACTACGAGTCCAACGACGCGATCGTCATGCTACAGAACGGAGGTGAAGAGGCGCTACGTCGACTTGGAGAATTGGCCAGGGGTCGGTCACGAGAGATCAAACAGAATCAGCTGGATGTTCTCGAGGTCTTCCATGCGGGCACCTTCTCCACCTTGGCTCAGCAGAATGGACTCAAGGTCTTGGAGCGCCCAGCCAAGTTCTCCGTGGAAGACGGGTGGACAGGCTTGGATGCCAAGCAACGTCGACATCTACGGCAAGATCTACTTCACTATCGACCTCGGCTGGTGACGATGAAGCTGAAGCCGACCGACGAGGGCCAAGGTGAAGCGCTCGGGCCCTCCAAGGTCAACTGTATCAGGGAATCCGTTCAGGCGGCGCTGGCTCTTGAGGTCGCTGAGGGACAGCTCGAGCGTGGAGATAACTTTCTTCTGGAAGCCCCGCAGACTTCAACCATTTGGAAGTTAGATCGGACGTGCAGCCTTTTAGCCCTTCCGGATGTTTCGGTGATTGAAGGGGATCTTGGAAGTCAGTTTGTGACAAATGATTTGGGGATCTCGCAAAATCTATGGGCGACCATGAAAGGAGAGCTGGCTTCGGACCGTCCTCCGGAGTTCCCTGAGGAAGAGTCCGACCTCACCGAGCCGGCTCCAGTCGAGGCCAAGGCCTTTGTCTCAGTTGCCCCAGGGAAGGTCTTCAAGAAGTCCGAGAATCTGGCAGAGATCTTGTTCCGAAGAGGGGATTTTTCACATCAGGCGTGCCGGCGGCTCCTCAAAAGTATCCCGTGGAAGGAGTTGCCGCTTGGCAAGTCAGGAGCCCCCACCTTGGCTCGGGAAAGACGCCACACGGTGACCCTCGGACAGTTCACTCACGGTGGCGTCGGAGGAATCACTCGAGCTACGGCGGCGATCCCAGAGGCCACCAAGTACTTCAATCGCTACCTGACCCTTCAAGGAGCTGTGGAACCAAGGTCGTCTTTGACGATCGGGATCAACAGTAGCCTGTCGTACCATCGAGACGTCCACAATGTCGGCCTGAACTGCACAATCGCCCTGGGGCAGTTCACTGGCGGGGAAGTTTGGCTGGAAGATCGAGAAGGACCAGTGTGGAGGCAGATCAGTCCGGAGCGCTGGGCGACAGGCCAGCTACATAAGACCCACCACAGGTTGCTGAGCTTTTCGCCAAAGGACCTTCATCGAGTGGAACCACACCGCGGTGAACGTTGGAGTATCACCGGGTTCCAGACCCGATCCTCCACTCGGCTGGCAGGCTCGGAGCAGGCAGCGCTGGGAGCCTTGGGCTTCAACCTTCGAGGGTATGGAGCCGCTGCTCAGAACCATCACCGCCGGGACCTAGCCCTTTTGGACGCCTCCTTCTTCGCGACTACGAGCACCTCCTTCCGCAGGGTGCCGACCGAGGTCATGAACACCAAGAACTACAACTTCGTTGAGGCTGAGGAGGATACTGACGGTGAGACCGGCGGGAGAGACCAGACCACTACTGAGGCCCAAGACGAGCAACGACCCAGAGCACGGGTGTCTGAGGAGCAGAAGCGGCTCATCCGAAAGGTGCATGTAAATACAGGACACCCGTCGACGGAGAGATTCTTGAGGACTATGCGAGCCGCCGGTGCACTTCCGCACGTCCTTGAGTACATCCGCGACCACTTCAAGTGCGACGACTGCGAGATCAAGATGAGAGCTGATTCCCGCCGACGTGCGCAATGTCCGCGGCTGTACACGTTTAACAGGGTGTTGTCCATCGACATCATGTACCTTCGCTTCCAGGAGAAGCAGATCCCCATCATGAACTTGGTCTGTACAGGCACCAATTATCATGTGGCCGTGCGCGTTCCTAACTCGAGTGGGACACCCAGCTCTTCAGCGGCCTGGAAGGTTTTCCTGGAGACCTGGGTGAGGTACATCGGGGCACCAAGTTTGGTCATCAGCGATGGCGGCAATGAGTTCAAAGGAGCCTTCGAGCGAGGGCTGGAACAACTAGGGTGTCTTCAACACGTTTGTGCCGCGGAAAGCCCATGGCAAAATGCCAAGTCAGAGCGACATGGCGGTTGGTTGAAAAGAAGACTCACGCAGGAGGTTGAGTCTGGCAGGTGCGTTTTCGACAACCTTGAGGAGCTTGATGAGTTCCTGGCGCAGATCACGGCCGCCAAGAACCGTTGGTTCAATCAAGGAGGACACTCTCCCGTGCAGTTGGTGTTCGGCGAGTTACCACGCGTGTCAGCCGAGCTGCTCAGCGATGGCCCCGGAGCACTTCAACCTCTGTCTGACTCATTACACGATCCCGCCGGAGGAGATGAAGTTGGCATGGAGTTCAGACGGCGAATGGCTCTCCGCGATCGGGCTAGGCAGCTCGCCATGGAGCAAGACTCCAAGGAAGCCATCCGGAAGGCCGTGAAGACCACTACCAGTCCCACGCGCAGGTGGAACATCGGACAATGGGTTTACGTGTTCCGCCGGGCCAAACCTGGGGACACTCTTCATCCTACTTCCCGCTGGGTTGGACCGGGGTTGGTGGTCATGAACTCTCAAGGGATCGTCTGGGTTGCAATGCGGACCAGGTTGTGGAGATGTTCCTCCGAACAATTGAGGCCAGCCTTTCCTTCGGAGGTGCTTGGCAGTCAGCTGAGCTCGGACCCAGAGTTAGCTGAGCTGCTGCGCAGAGTCACTTCCAACACGCGAGCTGGTGCAGTTGATGTCACTCGTGAGGGGCCTCCACCTGGAAGCGGGGATCACCATGCCCCCCTCGAACGACTTGAACCAGAAGGGATTCCTATCGAGGTGCCACCAGAGGCCAGAATGCCGGAAAGAGCTATGCCCCCGGGCGTAATGCCAGGCGCTCCGGAAAACTTCGTTCCAGTACCACCTGGTTTGGCGGGTCCCGGACAACCTCAGCCTCCAGACACAGAAGCAGTTCCTCCTGAAGGCTACCGGTCGGCAGCCACTTCACGAAGATCATCATTGGAGGAGCCCGCGCAGGAGCCCGAGATCCCTTCCCACATGGAGCCGATTCCTGAGGAAGCCTCACCTGGGGAAGCAGCCGAAGGACATGAGCCTCCTCCCAAGGTTCCAAGGACCGATGAGGGCACAAGGGCCCCTGGGACGCCCATCCACCAGTTGCTGCGGGTTATCAGGTCTCGAAGAAACACCGAAGGCCCCGATAGGCCCTCCGAGAACGAGACGCGAGAGGCTTCGAGATCCCCCCGGAGAGAAGGCTCCGATCGTGACCTCATCACCTGGTTCTTCATGAACGAGGATGGCGAGCTCAACTTCCTGGCGAAGCGCAACGACGAGATCTCCCTCAAGGACTTGAGTGAGGCCGAGGCCAAGATGTTCGAAGAGTCAGATGCCGTCGAGTGGAAGGCGATCCTCAACTCCAAGGCCGTCCGGGTGATCCATGGAGCGGAGGCCGCAGCGGTGCGAGCGAGGTGGGGTGACCGCATTCTTTCGTCGAGAATGGTGCGACGCAAGAAACCTCTCCCTGAGGAAAACCATTGGAAACCGAAATCCCGATGGTGTGTGGGGGGTCACACAGACCCCGATACGGGGACCCTGACAACATTTGCTCCGACACCTCAGGGCGAGGGGATGATGTCATTCATCCAAACCAGTCTGAACTTGAAGCACCTCTTCGCATTCACGGACGTCAAGAATGCGTTCTGCCAATCGGACAAGATCGCACGGCAGGCTGGCCCCCTGTTCGCCGAACCATGTGATGGGCTGCGACTCCC